CTCTGGGAACCACCGGATCGCGGGGAAGCTGTCGATGGAGGCCTCGCCGCGGGGCCAGCGCACGCTCACGCCCGCGGCCAGCTGCCCTCTCTTCCCCTGCACGGGGGGATTGCAGGGAGGCCTCACGTCCAGCGCTCACGGCACCCGAGTTACTCCGGTGTCCCCGAGTGGACCGTCGGGCCTCGCTCTTTCGCTGGCCTCTCGGGTCGGGCGAAAGGGGGGGATAGCAAAAGAGGGGTTTGAGAATCAGCTCACGTAGCTGATTTTCCCGGCGCCTCCCGGCGCCAGAGGCGGCTATGTATCGAGGAATGGGCCCCTCGGTGGGGCCGAAACCAGCTGCATGCAGCAAATTTCATAACCCCCTTTCCCAATCCCCCCCCTTTACTCTGGCCCGAGCCTCTTTCCGACGCTCCCTGCGAGCCCGGTCCACCGCATCCACAGGCGAAGGGGAGCCGAACAACATCGTCAGTGCGGTGCGCGTCGAGCTCGGGTACCCTGAGGGCGTACCGAGCAAGCTGGTCGGCGCGCCATGCCTGCCCTCCAATGGGGGTAGAGTTGTTGGTTGACGCAGCGAAAGGATACAATAAAGCTGAGGGCACGGGCTGTGTGGTGAGCGGGATGCTTGCGGTCGGTCGTGCTCGATGGTGTGACGGTCTCGTCACACGGTTGTCAGAAATACGCCATGAATCAACATGAGCTGGAACTTTGAAACATGATTATGGGCATGTGGGAACATTCAGGGTGGCGGATCGAGCAGTGCAAGCTGCACCATAGACTTAAGATGAGCACACACTGCACGGAGGTGCTTCACTGGAGTGGAAACCTGGCCATGGAGTTTTGATCGCACGAAGCAGGGCTGGTGGCCGTGGGAGGGCGGGCTCCCCGTCGGATTCCAAATTACTCGCCTTATGTCACGTGCAGCGGCCACATAATGCCCCATGCCAAAAGGGGCCCTGAAAGGGCCCCGCAAAATCTCCAAGACAGCCCTTCACTGCGCCTGCGTGCCCCCCCCGAGTCGTCCACTCAACCAGTCGAGCAAGTTGTCCAAACGAATGGATTTGACATCCATGATCGACCACAAATGCTTCGCGGCTCCAAAGGGCACGGGGCGGAGATGATTCGCCATTGGCGTCTTCGATAACAGTACGTGTGTTCACCTCTTCCCTCACAATCGAAACACTGACATGATAGGGAACGCTTTCTGACCAAGACTCAGGGTCAGGAGTGGATCCAGCCGTGGCGACGAGGGCCACCCCCCAGAGGCTGAAACAGAGCACAGAATACCAAACGACGTCCCCCTCCCTCCTCTTCCCCTACTGCTGCACGTGAAAGAGGGATTCAGATGTACGCGCCTGCTTGCAGACCGAGCGCTGCTGGCGGCAGTTCACGGAGGCCACCATCAGAAAGGACTGCGCCACAAGGGGCGGGGCCGCGGGAGGCGAGACCCATAGGAATGCTAAGGCCCAGGCTTCACGTGCAACCCCGATCGAGGCTGGTTTCGCCCGAGGCTGGTTTCGCTGGCGGCTGTTTCGCCGGGGCTGGTTTCGCACCAGGTGGATTTCGCAGGGCGGCCGGGGCGGGACCCTAACGGGCGGGTCGGGCGGGCGGGAGGTAAATTCGAACGGGCGGGCGGGCTTGCCAGCACGCGAACGGGCGGGAACCCAACGGGCGGGTCGGGCGGGCGGGACACGAACGGGCGGGTTGGGCAGGCGGGTCGGACGGGGCCAAGAGGCGGGCGGGCGGACAGGGGCCCTAACCGGCGGACAGGGGCCCTGCTGGGCGGGTCGGCGAAACAAACAAGGCGGAAACAGCGACGGGCGGGTCGACGAAACCAACAGGAAAAAACTAGCAAAGGGGAATCCAGCCGCGGGCGAAACCAGCCGCCCCCTCTCTTCCGTCCCCAATTCTCGGAGGAGGGACATATGAAACAACGGCTGCCAGATCATCAGAGGACTCTCCGCCAAGACGGAGTCAAGACCCACCAGAGGCCTACACGAGCCCAAGAGGCCCCCTAGCGGACTCAAGAGGCTCCAAAGAGGCTCCCAAGAGGCCCATCCCGCACCCTCAAGAGGCTCCCCAGGGGAGCCCAAGAGGCCTCCCGAAGGCTCCACGTCCACAACCTAGGCACAGTGTCAGGGTAGGGTGATCAGTGGACTCCCCACTCAGCAAAACCGTCTGAATTCATTCAATATATCCGTCGCCGATTCCACCTTATTCTCATTTGTTCGTATCGTGGGCTATCAGATTCATCAGCATCATTAGCACCAGCATCAACACCATCATCACCATCACCACTACCACCAGCATCATCACCACCACCTTCACTGGCAACATCATCCTCAGCACCAGCACCAACATCAACGTCATCGACATCGGCATCATTATCGGCATCATCAGCAGCATCAGCATCAGCATCGTCATCATCCTCATCAGGATCCTCATGCCCATCCTCATCGTCATCCTCATCCTCATCGTCATCCTCATCCTGGACCTCCCTCCTCCCTCCTCCTCATTCCTCCTCCTCCTCCTCCTGCTCCTCCTCCTGATCCTCCTACTCCTCCTATACCTCAGCATCAGCATCACCACCAACATCATCATCACCATCATCAGCATCATCATCATCTTCATCCGCATCAGCATCAGCATCATCATCGGCATCATCAACATCATCGTCAGCATCATCACCCCCACCATCATCAAGATCGGCACCACCATCACCATCATCACCATCATCACCAACACATTCACCACCACCACCACCGTCGCCACTATCATCAGCGCTCCGTTCTGCCCTGATCGCCGCTGCAAAATTCACGCGAGAGAGGTCAAACATGCGCTGATGGGCTTGGTTTCCACCACCACTACCATAGGGTGGAGGGAGAGGTCCTCCTCCTCCTCTTCTTTCTCCTCCTCCTCCTTCTCCAACATATGGTAGTGGTGGTGGAAATCAGTCCCATCATGCGCTGTCGGCGGCTGCGTCGCAGCACCTGGAAAGTGTTGCAGAAAGCCGCGTACTCCGGCTTCGCCTCGCCGACTCGCTCGTCGGGGGGGGGCGAGGAGGGGCCTCCCTCCTCCCTTCCCCCTTCGCCCCCTCCCCGTCCTCCTCCTCCTCCTTCTCCTCCGATTCCTCCTCCATTTTCCCCCTCCTGGGGTATGAAGATTTCCCCAGAACCTTTCTTCCACTGCATGTCCCTCCACATCCTTGACCAGGGCAAGTCGCCTACGCATCGTTTCTGGATAGGCTTGTGGGGTTAAACGAAGCTTCTAGAATTACTTATCCGACTCCGTCCCGTCCTCCCTCCTTATCTCTCTCCCTCACCCCTTCCCACCGCCCGCCGACTCGCCCGCCTTTCGATTCCCCCCTGCCAGCCCGTTTTACGTTCGCTCCCTCCCCTCATCCCACACCCTGACGCATGCACTCTACTTTTCATCATATGCCTCGTCCCCTGAGTTCACCATCATCACCATCACCACCATCATCAGAATCATAATCATAATCATAATCATAATCATAATCATAATCATAATCAGAATCATCATCATCATCATCATCATCATCATCACCATCATCATCATCATCATTATCATCACCATCAGCACTAGCATCATCATCACCATCACCATCAACATCATCACCATCGCCGCCAACATCACCATCACCATCACCATGACCATTACCATCACACTTACCATCAGCACGAGCATCCGCATCAGCATCATCATCGCCACCATCAACAACACCAACAACATCATCATCATCATCATAAGCATCTTCATCAACAGCACAATCATTATCGTCGACATTGAACTAATGTTCCTTGTCGATGTCGAACTCGTTTTCCTCTTCGCCACCACCACAAGCACCATCATCAACAACATGATCGTCGTGGCAGTCATCGACATCATCATTACCCTCACCAATTCCTCATCCACATCCAAATCACCATTACCATCACCACACCATTCCGCTCATCCTCATCTTCATCCTCATCATCCTCATCATCCTCATCAACCTCATAACCATCACCGTCACCATCCCCCTAATAGTCGTCCTCCTCCTCCTCCTTGTCCTCCTCCTGCTCATCAGAATTTCCGCCATCGCAATCATCAACAGCATCATCATCATCATCATCATCATCATCATCATCATCAGTATCGTCGTCGTCATCATCATCATGATAATGATCATGATCATCACCATCACCACCATCGTCATCGTCATCAGCATCAGCATCAGCTTCATCATCATGATCATCACTACCATCAGCATCAACATCAATCTCATCATCAGCATCATCAGCATCAGCATCACCATCATCCCCGCCATCCTCGCCGCAAACATCATCAACACCTCCGCAGTCGTTAGGATCAGCATCCTGCCAGCATTAGCATCGGTATCATCAGGATCATCATCAACATCACCTCCACACCACCATCACCACTGAAACCATCATCTCCACTATCGTTCATTAACGGTATCATCGTCATCAGCATCGTCAGCACCATCACCATCACCATCACCACCATCATCGCCAACCCCCAACACTCATCATTATTATCCTCCTCCTCCTCCTCCTCCTCCTTCTCCTGCTCCTCGTTATCATCATCGTCATCAGCAGCATCAGCATCAGCATCAATATCAGCATCAGCATCATAATCAGCTTCAGCATCAGCATAATAATCATCATCAGCATCAGCATCAGCATCAACATCAAAATCAGCATTAGCATCAACATCATCATCATCAACATTATCATCACGATAATCATCATCAACAACAACAACAACATCATCATCATCATCATCATCATCATCATCATCATCATCATTACCATCATCCGAAATATTCGTTCTTCCCTTCAGTCTCATCTGTCCTCCCTCTCCCCACCGACCTCCGGCCTCCATCCTGCCCCTTTCCCTCAGTCGTCGCACATCAGTGTAAAGTAATAATGAGGAGGAAGAGGAGAAAGATGAGGGTAGATGAGGAGGAGGAGGAGGAGGAGGAGGAGAAGGAGGAGGGGGGAAGAAGGAGGAGGGAGGAGGGAGTGACCCAGTAATGGAGGAGGAGGAGGAGCCTCTTTTCTCCCTCCCTCCTTCCTCCAGCCCGCATCCCTCCCTCAGTCAATCCATCCATCTGCCTCCCTCATCCCTCCCTGGTCCCTCTTCCCTCTCTTGTCCCGACAGCGTTCCTCCACCCTTCGTCCACCCTCCCTTCCTCAATCCTCCCTCCCTAAGCGGGATCGCTTTGGGACCATCATCTAAAACATGCCCTGCGCATGAAACATCGACCGCCAATCTCCTGCAGGGAAGGGGTCGGGAGAGTGCGAGGAGAGGAGACAAAGGCGCCTTGTCCTGCATCGGGCCTGTCCTGGCTACGCGCAAGGAAGACCCTAGGCGAGTGACCCTGGGTGCGCCGGTCGATCGCGCTCTGCGCGCTCGGGTTTTGCACCTCCGCGCCCCCCCAAAAGCCGCGTCCTAGAAGTCACTCTGGCGAAGGCGAGGGGCCAACTTTAAGCTGTAGCCGACTGTCGCCCGTCTCAGGCGCAGCCGGCCGACCGACGGGGCCCCGGCTACAGGAGCTCCACCGATCCGGGATGCAAAGCTGCCGCCCCGCAGAGGCGACGCCAGCGGGGTCGCGGGTATGCCCCACTGCACCAAGTCTGACCTGCGCGCTGATTTCGCGCCGCCTGTCGTCTCCTGTGGACCCCGTGACGGGCACCGAAGGAACGCCCCCTTCCTGGAGCGCGCGCGGTGGCGTCGCCACCGCGTCGAGGCGGCACGAACCTGCATTGTGGTCCTTCCTCTCCTATCTCTCGCTGGCGCCCCCCCTCCCCTCGCGCCACAGCCTGGCCGGAGGGCGGCAGGGGTCGGGGTGGGGGACAACTCGCTCCTGAGACGTGGCTGCATCGAACGGAGCCCCGACTGGCCCTGGGGTGTGGGACCCCACTCGGGGCAGGCTCCAACTATCCGGGGCAGGGGAGGCGCGAAAGTCAGGTCTGCAGAGGAGGGGGGCCCACTGCATGCGGAATGCGGCGGGGAACGACCCAGACGTCTGAGGGGATGAAACAAGTCAAAACGCGGGGGCGAGAAACCTACCCGTTTTCACGCCCTCGCGGTCTGGACTCCCCGGCCACGACCCCAAAGGTACAGGGAGGCTTTTCGCGGATATTGCCCACGCAGAACGTATCGATGGGATCGCAGACAACCCCCACGAATAAGAAAAGGGACTCGCTTGCAAGGGGAGGCGCCTCGACGCTGTCGTCATCGTTCGGCTGAGAGACAGTTTATATCCACGGCAGGCGGCAGCGTCGCCCTCCCCCTCCCCACTTCCTTCCTCCCTCCCCCTCCCTCTCCTCCACCCTATTGCACATCAAACGAGGGGAGGATTTTTTGTTTTGGGGGGGGCGGGGGCGCCGCTCCAACGAGCAACGGGGGCCCGTATGGGATGGGCAAATCCCGCCGCGAACGCGAAAAACAATAAACATATCTTCAGACACCCACCGATGTCAGTTGCTGAGCATGTTTGAACAAATGGGTAGACTCCCGCCAACGCCCGTAGGTAAACATGTTTGGAATACTGCAAGAGACCCCCACCAACGCCCAAAGGTGAGCATGTTAAAAGTACACCGAAAAACGCCCACAGTTGCCAATAGGAGAAACATGCGGGAAATATCAAGACCCCACCAGTGCCGGTAAGAGGACATGTTTGTAATGTATCAAAATGCTCCCACCAATTCAAATAGCTGATGCTTTTGAATATATGTAGCGACGCCCACCGATGCCAGTAGGAGGCCGTGCTTGACATTTATCAAGAGGCCCCCGCCAATGCCAGGAGGTGATCACGATGAAATAGTCCAGGAGACAAGCATCAACACAAGCAACAAAACATGCTTGACCTTAATCAAGAATACTCCCACCACTGCCAGTCGGGAGCCATGTTTACAAGCAATATACCATGGCCTCCCACCCTTGTAGGTCGGTGGGCACGTTTGACATATACCTGGGAACACCAACCAATGCAGACTTCATCACTGCTGCCCAACCGTCGCCTCCATTTCGATGAGCATCCCATCCCATCGACGAGGGTTACAGGGATCGCGGCACTCACGTAAACCGCAAGCTGGCACTGCCCTCATGAGGTTAACAGTAAGATTGGTTCACATGCGGTGGTTGGTGCCGACCACAGCAGCATTCTTCCCCGCACGTCCGATAACCCCCCCTCGAGAACAATGCCATCTCGTCCACTAAACAATGATAGCGGCCGACCAGAATGGGCACACATACGCTGAACAGACTCGTCAACGTCGTCGATCGGGACGTTGAACGGGGGCCGCCGCATGGTGATGGTCAGCGCCGCCAGAACGTTTGGGTAAGAACCGCACGGATGTCACTGCAAAGCCGCTCAAGTACTTCATGAACCTCAGTGCCACGACCAGCTTGGCGTTGAACAGCGACCTCACTACAGAAAAAAAAGAATCAGTCATGAACCTCTGTATTGAAAAGATGTGCAGGTAGCTTCGGGAAGGCCCGGTCAGTAGCAGGAGCGGGGCCATACTCTCCCATGAATCACTGGAACAACTCACTCTGTGTCCCACAACTCGCCCGAATCTGTTCGTGCGCGACTCTGCATAAACTATAAGAAAACTCTGCAAAAGCCCGTGCCAAGAAGAGGCTCCGGACGGTACCCCACCGACTCCAAGATGAAAAAACAGCAGGCTCAGCAATGTCGTGCCCACCTGACGCCGGCGATAAGGCCGAGCATCATCATCCTCACCTCCACTATAATCATCCCCTGGGGCTCCTTGGTCGAAGCCGTCGCCGAGACCAGCATCAGGGACCTCAGCTGCAGGCAGCACCTTGCCGACGAAAGCGCAATGGGATGCAATGTGTGATCTCCGATGGCCATAATATACCACCACGTAACTGTCCATGGACTGTACGAGTTGCTGGATAAGATGACCAAAGGCGAAGTTCTGCATTCCCACTCCATGATCCTGATCCAAAATGAGATGCAGCACGAGCATGTTGACGTAAGTGT